TAGCATCCTCCTCAGTGTGATAGCATCCTCCTCAGTGTGATAGCATCCTTCTCAGTGTGCTAGCATCCTCCTTGGTATGTTAGGATTCTCATTGGTGTGTTAGCATCCTCATAGTCTCAGGTCTGGATCTGAGGAATTTGTTTGCTATAATGGTGTCTTAGGGTTCCTATTGCTGTGATGAAACACCATAACCAAAGCAACTTGGGGAGGAGAGGGTTTATTTCATTCATAGTTTCATATGACAGTTCATCATCAAAGCAGTGAGGGCAGGAACTCAAACAGGGTAGGCATCTGGAAACAGAAGATGATGCAGGGGGGCATGGCTACCTTACTGGCTTGCTCCTCAGGGCTTGTTCAGCCTGCTTTCTTACACAATCCAGGACCACCAGCCAGGGGATGGCATCACTCACAATGAGCTGGGCCCTCCTCCTCAATCACTAGTTAAGAAGATGCTCTAGGCTTGCCTGCAGCCTTTGCTCCATTGAGGCTCTCTCCTCTCAGACGACTGTAGCTCATGTCAAGTTGACATAAACTAGCCAGTACAGGTGTCTAATACATATCTACTGCTATGCTAAGGATACACATTCACTGAACTGCTACTGAGCATGCCTGTCTAGACCAATGCTAGGGGAAGGAGATTCGAAGATGACTTAAGAGAATTGTGTGTGGGGCTACACACCTATGATCCCAGTACTTGGGAGGTTGAGACAGAGGCAGGAGCTTGAGGCCAGTTTAGGCTACAAAGTAAAACCCTGTTTCAAAACAGTGGGAAAAACTTTACTTTAAATAAGCAGTATAAAAAAACATTTTAAAATATGATTTTAGATGGTTTTAGCCCCAACCAGATATTAGTTATTTGTGATACCAGTATGCACTATTAGTGCTGAAATACTATTGTATCTTTAATGATGGAAGAGGCCCATGAAGGGACATGTAGGATTTGTTTGCATTTATTTCCTCAAGTCATTCTGCAGACAAGTGACCATATAAACACTGTCTTGTAATAACTATACAAGCTTCTCCAAATACTTAAGGGAACAAACATGGCACCTTCAGTAAACCACAGGCCAGGCCAAAGTTACATCATGAGTTTTATTGCTTACTAAACACCTTTGTCTCCTCTTCTACCTCAAGTTCATCTTGTAGACCTCAGTGTGTTTTGACTCTGCTGCTCTGGTCAAGAACATTAGTGGTTTCTCTGTGTCACAATCCTAGCTGTTCTGGAACTAGCTCTTGAAGACTAGGCTGGCCTCGAACTCAGAGAGATCTGCCTGCCTCTGCCTTCTGAGTGCACCGCTGTCTGGTTAAGAATGCCAGTGGTTCTTTAATGTAAGAGAATGAAGCTGAGACTGAAGTTCAAGGTCTTACCAGCTTGGCCCCAGACCATATTCTTTACTTTTAACCATCCCAGCCTCCCTGAGATGCCATTTCTACTCTTACTAGCCGGCTTTTCTTACTGTCTGGAGAGGGCTCCAGAGTGAAGGTGTAGCAATGTCACTAAGTTCACTCTACGCTGTTCCCCTACCACATTCCTTCCTGAGGCTACAGAGGCCTTATCACCCCTTCTTCACGAAAAGACTGTGTCCAGGTGCACACGTGTGTGTGCACACACACCCATGCCTTGCCGAGACTGGCTCCATTCCGCTCTGTCTTCATCTCAGAACTGCTGGCTTCCCCAGCTCATTTCTGGACTTCATCCTTGCTCTCTCCTTTGCCTCGACCTCTTCTGATTAGGTGACTGACTTCCATGTGGTAGTCCTTCTAAATACAACTTTCAGGGAACACTTATTCTCTCCACTCTACACAAATAGAAGCCTTAGGATCCCTCTGGAGTCGTGCTTTGGACTGACCAGGAGTAGGGAAGAAGCTTGAAAGCCTATTTTTGTCTGACTAATTCCTTCTCCAAGGTTTTAGCATATTAGTTCAGTGTAGTGAACTCTAAAACAGAGAATAAAGAGATTGCACATGTGTTTTAGCGTGAACTTGGCACGAAGATACCAACTGCCTGGTGGGAGGGTGAGCAGTAGATTTACCGTAATATTCAGGATGTCTTTGAATGCTAAGTGTGGTATTTTGTATTTAACTACTCCCACTAAGACAAACTTCAAGCAAGAAAATCAACAACTCTGTGAATAAGGCTGTAGAGGTAGCCCAGGGGTTAAGAGGAAACATTGCTCTTGCTGAAGATCTGAGTTCGGTTCCCAGCACCAATTTAGATGCCTGGTGATCACCTAAAATTGTAGTGACATTTTGTTTATAATATAACAAAAATAAAGCTTGCCTGAAGATCAGAGTGCAGAGCTAAGCCACTAGAGGCCAGACAGTTGTGGCACCCACCTTTAATCCCAGCACTCGGGAGACAGAGGCAGACGGACCTCTGTGAGTTCAAGGCTACCCTGGGCTACACAAGTTTGATTCTGTTTAAAAGGGAAACAGAACTCACACAAAGGTGATTCCAGCACTTGGGATCCCATGCCTTTTTAATCCCAGCACTAGGGAGGTACAGACAGGAATGATATGGCTGGGCAGAGAGAGGAATATAAGGTGGGAGCAGACAGGAGTTCAGATGCAGTCTGAGGGTGCAGTCTGAAGTTTTATAGAGACAGAATTCAGTCTGAGGATTCGTGGAGACAGAATCACCCTTTGGTTTGAGGTAGAGGTCAGAGCTAGTGGCTGGATGTTCTGCTTCTCTGATCTTCAGCATTAACCCATATACCTGACCCCAAATTTTTATTAGTAAGAACAGTTAGAATTTGTACTATGTGAAACTCCACTCCAGGGCCTCCAACACCCTGGTCTGGCATCCTTGGGTACATGCACCCATATACAGAAACCCATACACAGACACAATTAAAGATAAATATTTTTAAAATACCTTCAACTGCTGGGTAGTGGTGACATATGCCTTTAATCTCACCACCCAGGAGGCAAAGGCAAGTGATCTCTGAGTCCAAGGCCAGCCTGGTCTACAGAGAGAATTCCAGGACAGCCACACAGAAAAACCCTATATCAAACCCCACCTCCCCTGAAAAAAAAAAGAACAAACACAATACACTTTGATATACTTTTGAACTTGCTAAATTTCTAAATACTATTTTAAATAATTTAGATGGTAGGATAGTCAAGTTTTCCATGTCTGGGAAAATACCTGAGAAAATAATCTCCAAGGGGAAAAGGGTTTAGCTTGCTAATTTTAGAGGTCCAGGCCCTGTGTTGGCTCCATTACTCTGGAACTATGGTGGGGTGGGATAAGGTAGGGGGCATGAGGCAGGGCAAAGCTGTTCAACTTCATGGTAACAGAGAAGAAAAGAGAAAGAAAGGGGCTGAGGACCCTAAGGGCTCCACCACCTCTTGACACAACCATCACCTGAGGATCATGCCTCTAACACATAAGACTTTGGAGAATATTTATGATTCAAACCATAAGACATTATCTGTTTTCTTAGTAGTGTTTAACAGCTAAATGTAGCATTTTCCCTCTTCCATTATATAAATACCACCATTATGAATAATTGAAACATTTTAGATTTATCTTATTTTGCCATAGGCTTGCCTATTGCCTGCATAAGCCAGAAGAGGACTTCAGAGCCCATGGGACCAGAATTACAGATGATTGATTATGAGACACCATGTTTGTCTTCAAGAGCAAGTAGCTGCTGAGCCATCTCTCTAGCCCCATGATGGACAATTTTAATCTACCAACAGTGATCTCACTAGAGACAAATCAGTTAGCTCTCCTGTGCCTGTGCAAGCAGACTACAGTACAACACTGCTTATGTTCATCTTTTTATAAGTCAGATATTATATTTAAGAATCTCTAGGGGAATACAGATCCCATCTTTAGTCTTAAATAGAATTTAAATGTTTCAAGGAATTTGAAGTTGATAATCACAGTGCTTGAACAATTCTCGTCACTTTCACAGTGAGGTTAAGGTGGAATGGCTGACCCTAGATTTGATGTACAATTCTAAGATTTAGAAGAATGATGTGTTCTCACTCACCAATTTGGTTTCATTTAACTGACAACTTCAACTTCACTTCAATTGCTGTAAAGGACAAAGAGGAAGAAAACCAAAAACACACGAGGGAAAATCCTAAAAGTTTCATTCTAGGCATTCAATGTGTGCGCAGTTAAAATGTCTCAGTGAAGTGGGGGAAGAGTACACAGCAGGATTTTAATTTCTGGACTTCCCCACCTCTTTCCAGAGCCGAATGGCAAAGCCGCTACTCAGGCAGGTGGAACATGGTTACAGCAGCGTAAAAGTGAATCTATCCATCCCCATAAAGCATGATGAACCAACCGTCTGTCTGTTAGCACTGGTCCCCGTCCTCTGAGCTTCTTGGACTGTAGGAAACCTTTGCTCAAGAACAGCCACATCACTTCTAGGTGTCGTGAACCTTGACTCCCAGGTGCTGGTCAGGTTCCATATTATCAAACTGTTACTATTCAAACCTCTATGGGTTGGCATTTAACACTAATGATACAGCTCCATCTGATCTTGACTTCTGGCCAAATGATGCTTGTGGTAGTATCCTTTCCAACAGAGTAAGGTTCATGTCATAGTCTACACCCTAACACATGGCATAGAGTATGACTCATGCCCATACTGGTTAATAAGTACCTACCTCAAGACGGAAAATTCAGCTAAAAAGAGACATTGCTGAATTTTCTTCTTTTTCTATATTCCATTCTTTGTGGAGCTCTGTTGAGAGAGGCATATGAATTTCATCTAATTATTCCATTAACACATCCTCCTTTACTTCGCATATAGCAATAATGTCGGAAGAAATCTCAGACATCACACAGCTCAGTTTTCTGAGAATTCCGTGGAATTCAGGAGTTGTATCCATAACATACCTGTTCAGACAAGTTTTTAATGCTCATGGGGATGATGTCGATAGTCACGTGGTCGCCTAGGTAAGGAAAATGGTGGTTCGTCCGGCCGTTGACTGCCTCTGATGAAAGAAAGGTGTCCTTGTCAGGCAATGGGCTTGCGAGATGAGCCACCCAGTGCTTTGCTTCAGGAGAACCAGGAGCACCCTGAGAACACCCACTAGGGATGGACCCTACCACTGTATGGCCAGTCTGAAAGTGCTTGGCATGAGCAATTGCATGGTAATCTGTCGGGGAAGATTATTTTAAGGTATGTTGCTTTTGTTTATGCTGCATTTGTTTTATGCTGTGAAGCTGCGAATCCTTGTCTATCTGAAACACCTGATGGTCTAATAAAGAGCTGAACAACCAGTCGTGAGGCAGGAGCGAGGATAGGCAGGGCTGGCAGGCAAAGTATAAATAGAAGGAGAAAAAGAGGAAGAGGAGGAACAACAAGAGAACAAGAGATGAAGGACATCAGGGGCCAGCCACCCAGCCAGCCACTGAGTAAGAGTGAAAATAAGATAAAGTCTAGACAATTTAAGCTAAGAAAAGCTGGCAAGAAACAAATCAAACTAAGACCGGGTATTCCTAACTAAGAAGCCTTTTGTGTGATTTATTTGGGAGCTGGGTGGTGGGCCCCTGTACTGCCCTCCTGTTGTACTACATGACAGTACGGTACTACTCCTGTATTGCGGCGCCAGCACTACAGGACCACTCGCGAGCCGGGCAAGGGCCTGGAGACTTAAACACACAAAGACACACAGACAGAGACACGGGTCATCCTTGAAACAGGAATGCCCCAAGAATGCCCCCTTTATTGTGTTCAGGGGCAGCTTATATAGGGATAGCCATGCCCCAGCCAAACCCGCCAGAATCCACTCCCCTGCCATCCGGAACTCCCGAGGGTCTTGTGCTGAGAGCAGCTGCAAGCATAACACATTGTTTACAAGAAATTCAGGATCTGGGGGTTCACAGCTCCCAACGGCCCTCCCCCAAAAGGCAAAAGAGTAAAACATCACAAAACAACAATCCAAGCGGGTTTAGACCAACTGGGGTATAACCTAAATTAATGAAAAAGAATAAGATATGAGAAATACAAAGACATGAGCAGATAATAATGGTGGTAGTAGTTACTGAATATTAAAATAGGACAAGTCAGGCTCTCCTAGGTGTGGTATTAACTAATCATTTATTTTTCACAACAGTGTCATCAACAGTGACCTCATTTTACAGCTGCACATGCAGACACGTGTACACACGGTGGTGGGGGAGACCATTTCAAGGCCATGTAGTCCTACAGTGAAGGAGCGGGATCGGAACCCTGGCCTTCTGAAGCCCGACATCCCCCACCACACTGGATCACTCACTATCCCGAGAAAGCCTGGTACATACCAAGTCTTGTTCAACCTCTTACTCATCACAATCGCCCCACAGAGGACTCTGCCGTCCTGTTACAAAGCAGTCGTGTAAAGTGCCCCAGGTCACACACCCAGTGAGAACTAAAGATGGAGTTTAGCTCTACATAGCCAGCTGTGGTGTCCTAGACCTTTAATCCCAGCACTCAGGCGGCAGAGGCAGAGGCAGGAGGATCTCTGTGAGTTCAAGGACAGCCTGATCTATGTAGTGGGTTTTAGGACAGTCAGTACTATGAAAAGAGACCCTGCCTCAAAAGTATGTGTGTATATAACCCTAACCATACACACGTGTGTATTCTGTGTGTATGTGTGTTGTGTATTTTGTGTGTGTACCTATGTAGCCTGTCCTTAGTTATGATATGCTTTCCCACTTGTACAGACTCCGCTAGGTAGTGGGGTCCATGTACAGTTATAGTGTTATAAACAGAACTTTTCATGTGCAGGAAAGGCACGTGAGAAAGAACAGGAGTAACAAACATCTGTGGAGGAAAATTAAAGCTGATTGCTATGCCAGAAACCTAGGCAGTTGTCAACCAATCCTTGTCAGCAATGACCTATAAGCGCAGCATCCAATCCCTGGATCCCCTTCCTGAACACTTTTGTTTTAGGGCTGGGATGAAGCTCAACCAGTAGAGTGGCTGCCTGCTATGCACAAAGCCCCAGGGTTGCTCCTCAGCACTGCATAAAACTGAACACGGTGGCACACGGCTGCAATCTCAGTCCTTGGGAGGCTGAGGCAGTGAATTCAACGCCTGCCTAGACTACATGAGACTCCGAAAAAAAAAAAAAAACCTCAAGTAAAATTTTCACATGTGGTCCCTGCTGTGTTGTCTAGGCTGCCACGCTAGCTTTAAAGCTGTGGAGTTGAGTGATTCTTCTGCCTTAGCCTCCAGGTAACTGGGACAACAGGCCTGTGCCACTGTGCCCAACTCAAACAGGTTTCTTCTGAGCCTTCACAGAACATTCCATGGTACCTGAGAACATAAGCAAGACACTGATGAATCCTTAATATAAATTATGTTGAGTATTAAAAGCACAATCAACTCGTGTTTTGTTTTGTTTTGAAACAGGGATTCTCTATGTAACAGTCCTGGCTGTCCTGGAACTTGCTTTGTAGACCAGGCTGACCTCAAACTAAGAGAGCTGCCTGCCTCTGCCTCCTGAGTGCTGGGATTAAAGGTGTGTACCACCATCCAGCTAACTCACATTTTTATATATTCATGAAATATTTTTTATGTAAAGATGAATCATTAGATTCCACATTTATTTATATTTTTTCAGCCAATAGACCATTACTCTGTAATGTAAAATGTCCAAATTAACATTTACAAAATCATGTTGCGAAAAATTTATAAGTTCTCTCTCTCTCTCTCTCTTTTTAATCATAGACTCTGTGTGTGTGTGTGTGTGTGTGTGTGCACGCACCCGCGCGGGCTGCTCCTGTGCGGAGGTCAGAGGACTATAACTCTCAGGAGCCTGTTCTCTCCCTCATCATGTGGGTGCTGAGGAATCAACTCAGGTTGGTAGACTTGGCAACAGGAGACTTTACCCACTGAGCAGTCTCGCCCTATACACGCTTTTTCTTAAAATGAATTCATTTACAAAGTACTTTGTGGAGATATTCCCCGGAGCGCGGGCAATTCCCAGCAGCTGCATCACCATCCACAAAGACTTGCTATTAATTCCCCTCCTATCTCCCAAAGACCGAAGGTGAAAGCTCAGTCTTGCTCAGGCCCTGTGCAGGCACCTGCAGCCACTGGGAGTTCATTAGTGTCACAGCCGTGCCTTGCCCATTAGACAGATTTCAGCCAGGCGTGGGGGTGCCCATCTTTAATCCCAACACTCAGGAAACAGAGACAGAAGGATCTCTATGAATTCCGGGTCGACCTGTCTCCACAGAGTCCTGGGCTAGCCAGGGCAACAAAGTGGGACCCGGCCTAAAAAACATAGCGGAAAGAAAAGGGGTGGGGGAGTCTGTCAAAGTCTGGTACCCGTGTTTCCACATACAGCTTCCCAAAGGGATGCAGGCTGACTTTGTCGGTGGTCCAGTAAGCCCCTAAGACTTCCGGAGCTCTGTCCTCATCCGGTACTGGTCACAGGGTGGGAACAAGAGGCAGACAGGGACTGCGCCTTGTCCCATCGCCTTCGGTCCGCTGGGTGGATGGAGGCGGGCGGTTTCTGGCCACACGAGCCTGCTCCTGACCTCTTCCCTGGCTGGACTGAAGCCCTTCCCGCGCTCTCCTTCCAAGGTAACCCGAAGTTACCTCGGAGCGAGCGCTGTAAGAGGCCTAGAGCAGCAAGCATCCAAGGTGGGCAGAACACCTCCCTTTACCGCCTCACCCGTTTGGTCCGCCCCTCTTCCAGGCAACTCCCTGATTGGCTTTCCAGCCTGTCAATGCGTCCAATGATTGGCCGGAGCGCCGTCACTCTGTGATACGCGGCGCCCCGGGGGCGGAGCCTGCCGGCGAGAGCCCGACTGCCCGGTGAGGCGCGCGCAGCTCCACTTAGTCAGCGGGCGGCGCGGGCTAGCGCTCGGCCCCGGGCTAGGAGCGTGGAGCCGGCCGGGAGAGTAAAGGAGCGG